ATGATTCAGGTTTCCTCACGATATTTTCCTTTACCGTCATTGAAGTAAGTGTAACACACATTTAGAAGGTATGTAAACTTAGAAAAAGTCACATTGGTACTTGCCAAGTTTCGAACCCTCATGCATGCAGCATGAGAAGCAGGGCCCTCTGGTCAAAACGACCTTTTTAAATTATAAATGAGATATTCCTCCGCGAAATGGAATTCTATATCCAAACAACACTTTCTACATCTAACAACAGAAAAAAGAAAATCAATCTTCTTTATTAACAAAAAGAACTTCGTCTTAAATAAAAATGGAATTATCTACCATTTTAAAATGCCCTTTTATTTTCTGCTATGATGTTTCCGGATTTGCGAAAATAGTTTAGCTTGCATCCATGCAAGTCGGAAGTATTTGTCGACTACTCAAATATGTTGAGAATCGTCCTAGATGCCTCTTAGCGTATTGCGAATCAAATAAAGAAGTTTTGAAGCAGCTACGAGTCATGGAATGTCTTTTGTTTTATTCTTTTTATATTGCTTTTTGTTTTTTTGCCATTGGTACTTTCAAATAGTGAAATAATATAAACCTGATTTAAGAATTAAATTAAGAAAAACAAAACCGGGAAAACCAAACTGTCCACTAAACTTGTGGTTTTGATAGTGATCTGAATGATAAACTAATCGACAAAAGTAACTTTGGAACTTTTACAGCTGTATTTGTCTCAAAAAGATACATTTTTAACCTCACACAAAGTCAAAGACTTAAATATCAAGCAAAGATTTAAAGATAAAAGTGTCATTTTGCTAAAACAACGCTATGACTTTTCACTAAAGATCCACTTATAAAAGTATATGCGTAGTCAATTGAACCATTTCAACTCATAGATTAGCAACGGAGAATTTAATTTCCGTACGCAAGAGTCTGGAAATTGAAGAAATGCTGCCTCGAACATCTGGTGAGTAGAGCGAGCTCGAAGTGGAAACGGGACCATCTACCATCTAAATGTTTATAGATACATTGTATATGGTTAATATTGTCTATATGGCCATTGGAGAGAAGTTGTGTTTTAATGGTGTCCTAGAAATAGACTTTTTGAAAGGAAACTGGTGTTAATTAAGTTAGACAGAGAGTATTCTGTGACTTACATAAAACTTCGGTAAAGGAAGATAACCAATTAGGTAGACGTAGAGAAATCCCTAATATTTTTTCACCAAAGTGACCTTAAATTCACGTTACTACTACCACGTCAAATATAATCAGAAATCGGAACCTTTACTTTGAATTTCACTTTCACCAAAAATGATCCTCCGTATAATTAAACAGCAGAATGAATTTCCCTTTTTATCTTTAGCTCTCAAGGTCGGCCAGATGAACTGTGAAATTAGGCATCTTCAGGCACCCTTGCCACCCCTATAGTACGCGCGCATGCGTCCCTCATCCAATTCATTCATTTCGTTCATTACAATTGATATAAATGTTGGCAAAAGTTTCCTCGGCCTCGCTTGGGGACATTTTATCATGCTCCAATTTCCGGCATCCGGTATAGTTGTCACCCCTAATTAAAAGAGAGGGGAAATTAATATTTTCGAGAAAATTCTTCAATGCGAATTTTTGTTTATTGAATATTTCGTTTGGTCGACTGTTTATTTTTGAGCGCTCAAGAAAACATATCAGTAAAAATGTATAAGGTATTTCACTTGTTAGTTTTACCAGCCCAGATCTGAAGAACCATGTGCGGATTACAATTGAAATTGGGGTACAATAGACGGTTAAACGTTAGAATAATTTATTCAACGAACATAATATTTCAGAACATCAAAGCGAGAACTAAGATAACACCGCAACTCGAGTAGACTAGACATTACAAAGGGATGCGTATCAGAGAATTATTTTTAGCAGTTCTCTATTTCCACAAACGCACGGAGCTTTTCATAGTCCTCCATAGATCACATCTCAAGATTGCGTCTGTCGTGGTTTCAACAAGATTTTCTTGTATCTAGAGATGAACGCAATGATAATAAATATTGTGGGTCTGGTTTATTTTTGGAATGAATTCTATATTTTTGTGTGTATTTTCTACGTCAGCGAGAAATAGTTTTTGGTATTCTATCAAAAGAAACAGATGCTACTTGACTTGGTAATGAAGTATTGATAAAAAAATGGGCCCAGTGTAGTTCCTTGTGGTAGTACTCTATTAAAAGTTTCTTTATTAGTGTTAACTTTTTGGCAATGAATGCAATTTATCTCAAGATGAATAAAAAAATGAAAGTAATTATCCCTTGGACACACAGGCTTACGTAAATTATTGTATATTTTTTTAAATACGTTTTGTCTTTATAGGACGCTTAAGGGGTGCCCATAATCCTCTTTATTCATAAATTAATAATTCATAGTATAATGCTTCACATATGTTAACTTATCAGTTACCGAGAGAGCTACAAAATCAAGAATGCGGATCGTTCTTATCACTTGATAACGATTGTATCAATTTATCTATTATCTCGTATCGATCGAATATGCTCTAAATAGTCGGGACAGCGTCGGCCTGATCAGTTGATGATGGAACTGGTGTCGAGAATTTTAGTTTGACTACTAGTTTTAAAACTCAAAGTAATCTGAAGTAGTGTATTAAATAGCAAGCGCAGACATAAATTTTAAATAGTTTCTTACTTGTCGATCATCAAAAAATTTACAAGTAAGCATAGCCAGAAGACACGGCATAGTAACAAAAAAAAATAAATGTAAATAGCAAAATATAAAAAGACACGCACGAACGAGCATTCTGTATTGAAACATCTAAAACCGCGACACTCGCTTTGTTGAGAAAAATTATCTGAATGAATCCTAACGATCTCAATTGTGACATAACATGACAACTCATTTGGACGGTTTTTGTAGAACGAGAGAAAAAAATTAAAAAGGCCAATGACGTTTTTGGACGACATTGTTATTAGTACACGACTTCATATTAGAATATCACACTTGATTCTACTGAGGGTACCAGTAGAGGGAAGAGTTTTACAGCCATTTTGCATTCACAATGAAGCAACCAACACACATTTCGAAATTTAAGTAATATATTATCTACATTATGCAGTAACGTATGTCTTTCATTTATAAAAACTAAAACGATTTAAGTTTTTATGTCATTAATTATAAAAAAAATAGTCATAATGACTATTAATAAAACACAATTTTGATTACAAATTGAAATTCAAAAAAAACCTTAAAGTAACTACAACCTCTTTGATTGTTGTAATAGATTACGAATAGGTGCACTAAAACAACCACAGCCTGTGTAACATTAAATTTACCATTTTAATTCACTCGTCACTAGAATAGAATTTATATGACGATGATAAATCGAATTACCTCTGTCAAATATTGAGCGAGACATTAAATTCATTAGTATCATGGAAAGGTTCTAGGGATTTCAAATTGAAATATAATTTGAAATGGAGCTCTCTAAAATGGCGGGCTTTTGGAACACCTTCACAATTCAACTCCTTAAAATGATAAAGTTATTCTTAAAATGATCGAAATAATTTAAAAATACAATACGTTGATACTTTTCCTTAATACGTATCAAAAATGCTGAATACTTAGAAGAAACAATATGAGAGAAGTAATATGACAGTTGAAGGCTATTTAAAAGTTTTCATAAATAGGTTTTACTAGAAGTAACAAAAAGAATATGCAAGAAAAAAGTTAATAGCGGTAAATATAACTGGGTATAATGACATTATATTCGCAGCCACTATCAGATCAGATATAAACTCAAGATTAACCTTGTGACAGATAAAACAGTTAAACTTTTAGACTTATTGTTAAATATTTCATGAACAGTGAGAAAATACTAACTCTATTTAAACAAATGTCCTAAATCAGTGTCAGGGCCACTGGTAATACAATAGATAGAAGCAATGATAGATTGAAAACGGATAATTAAAACTCACTGAAGATTTTAAACAAATGAAATGCAACATGGAAGATGTTCATCATCATCATCAGCCTAAAAGTGCCCACTGCTGAGCAAAGTCCTCTTCCCACAAGGAGAAGGTTTGAGCATTAATCACCACGGTTACTTAAGGTGGATGCGGTTTCGAACTTATAATCAGAAAAAAGTCCATGATGTTTTCCTTCACCGTTTGTCAGTGTGGTCTAAATAATCATAGAAAGTACATATAACTCGAAAAAATCACATTGGAAAATGTTCACGTGCTAAAAACCTAATATTAACAATATTCTGTATAATTAATAATATGAGTATATCGTTTTAATAGTATCATTAAAATGATCTTATCAAGAAGATTGTTATATAAAACATCGATATTTCATTGATTAGTCAACAGTTGCGCTTGATTAAAATATTAGAAGGTTAATTTTATTGATAACGATTGAAGTGTGAATGTCAACTTAGTATACATTGACATTAATTTTATATTTGATTGCAGGAAATCAATAAAATGGTTCATGGAATTCCTATTTAAAATGTCTATCGTCAGTCCAGAACTTAGTGGAACAATATAATCAATCTACTTTTAAGCTAATTCCAGATCAATTTATGATGCTTCAGACAATGCGTATTAATGTCTCCAATTGAAAATGTAAGTTAATTCTAAATATATCACTAAAACCCAAAACTATCTTCGAAAATTCCGAAGTAATTCTGCTACTCATGAAACTACTAACTCCATAAATTACAGCAAAGTATGCCGTAATCACCAAAAATAAATGAACGCGATCCGTCACACGACTCAGAATTCTCACGTTAAAACTTCGTCACAAAAGAAAACTATATTTTCCCAAAATATAACACAGTATACATTATTATATTCAACATCTTGTGCAGGCCTTCACAGCATTATCAAACCATTATCAGTACTTAAACAAAAGGACATTTGTAATCTTCTGAAGTTGAGATCAGTTGCAATGTTGACTAAATAATCTAGATCTTAGCAGTAAAACTACCTAGATCATTATGTAAACATACAGGTATTTACGTACGACATTACCTCATTAGGCTCTTCTTCCCATCTACGACATAAACAGAAGTGCTTCAATCGATCCACGCTCATACAACATCGCGAGGTGTCCAAAAAGTATGCATTTAGAGTCTGCCAAACCTTCGCCATTTTCGAACTTTAACACTCAATCACTGGCAACACTACCACGAAACGTCAATTTCAAAATGACGTAACGAGATTTAAATTAAGAATTCACATTGTGATGTGACGAAACTTTTTTTTGTAATAAATAGAGGTGTGCACGGTCGGAAAAGTGTGTTGGTACTGGCCGTTATCAACGCGTACTATCTTGAGTTTGTCACGCCAGATATTGTGTTGTGATGACGATAACGCGAGGGGCGTACCGCCGGCTTTGTTTTCAAAACAAAAATAGTTTTTTGTTTCAACTGAGGATGTATAGAATATGTTAAGAAAGAATTCTTTAACAGGCATCATGTACCTAAGTAATTAGGAAATATGGACACAATAAGAATTAGCTAAACTTTTAAATATAGTTCATTGAAGATAATAGGTACTCATAAGTAGGTACTTGTTAGTATTTTGTTCCAATGCAGTTACCAACTTCAAAACAATTGACAGAACTTGTTATTAATTAATTGAATCTCTACTAGAATACTTTATTCAATTCAATTGCAATGACAGAACAATAGTGTAATTATAGATAATAAAAATCAAAAACTAAATAAATGAAGCGAATATGCTATTTTTAACGCTGGCAAGACCAGCTGTGGCTGGGTTCCGCAGGTGCCCAAACAGCTGTCATGGACATCCGTTGGCTAAATTCCTTTGTCATATATGGGTTAAAATATTCTATTCAATGAGCACCACTGAGTATTGAATGAACATTATTATAATATTTTGTATATGCTATTAATCAGCAGGATTACTTCATGTATCTTCTCCTCCGAAGTGGTAACTAGAAATATTAGTTATCGCTACGCCACTTTCGAATTGTGTTTTTCATCAAAACTATGCTAGACTATGTACTTAACAAAAAAATGACAATTATTTTGTGTATGGGTTATTATCTTAAAATATATTTTTTGTATCACTATAACTTCTTCAAGAATTTTTGTTCTTCTTTCAATTAGCCTCTAGTTTTTTCACCACAACCGCTAGTCTCTGGCAAAGCAATTCCACTCCGGAAGGGCTTTGCTGGAGTCTTTTCTACCCGCAGGGTAACACCTGAGTGTCTTCAAGGTTAGAGTGACTAGTTGCTTAACAATAGGCGTGCTCCAGCATAGGTCGAGATAGTAGCAAAGTCCATTGCAAATAAATATATCTAATTCCATTTTTAATGTCATTGTCATTACCTACTTTTCCCATCTTTACGGTTACCTTTCATGTTAAGCATTTAATGTTGTATTTATGTAAAGCGTTTGTATCTAGGTTCTAAGACATCTGGCTAGTCAGTTGTTCAGCCTTTAGCTTACAGACTGACTGCCTTGGCACACAAGTCTCATTTTGTTGCCATCTGCTTTACAACGCCGCGTTTAATGTTATTATAAGTAGCTACCTAGTGTTTTCACAAGTTCAACTTGCTTGGAAAAATAACAGCTATATGTATTTTTGCGAAGAAAAAGTGGGATGTGTTTTGTTTTCTATAAAATACATACATGAAGTCAAACCAAAAACAAAATTGATTTAAGTTTGAAATTAGAATAATATTAAGAATGTAGTATACTAAAAATGTGTGTTTGTTAGTTACAAATGAATTTAGCTAAATTGGTGATTGGCTTTGATTACTTACTAGTATTAATTTGATATAAAATATCTATTGTCAACAAATTTTAAGCGTTTGTTAAAACGAACTTCTGGAAGACTGGAATAAATTACATATCAGACAACAACTATTGCTACGTACAAAAACAAAAAATTCAAGCAACGTAGTAAGTATTTATGTTATTCTCAACCAACGAATATTTTTATTTAGTGGAAAAAAACTGAAGCAATAAAAAGGGTCAACGTTACAACATCTAGAAAGTACTCAAGGAAGGTAGGTAGGTAGTTTATAGGGCTCGTAAATATTGCCCGAACCGGGTATCTAATGCTGTACTCTACGCGAGTGTAACCACATTCGTTTTTATGATCTCACTTGAGTATGTATGTGAACCGAAACTATCTTGATTGAAATTGTAATCATTCTATTCTTAGTCATTTTTGGCTAAGAAATTAATGAAAGTAATGTCAGTATGTTGCATAAAACATCTAAGGATATTGTGATTAATATGGATTTTAACGAGAGTAAATGACCATTGGATAAAGGCAATGTAAATGAGCAGACACATGTTTATTAACGTATTTAACGTCTACCTAGTACAGATAATAAAAGATTCGAACTTGAAAGTCCAAACCAAACAAAAAGAGAACAAATGGATTTTGGTAAAAAAGTTGAATAAAGATAATAAATAACATCTATAACATCACGTCACGATTGATATATAGTTAATAGCCAAGCAAAGCCTAGGACCAGAGCTGCATTCCCTGAGCTAATCCTCTAATCGATCACTGTGACGGAGGATTTCTGTTGGAAAACTCAGTTATTTATGGCAGAGAATCGGAAAAAAGTTGCGACAAAAATACAATTGACGATAGGCTTAACGAAGTAATGTATTGTATTAAAAATAATAATGAAATGCTGGTAGAAGAGGGTGAAAGAGACAATGAAGACAGATAATAATTAGGTGATTCGTGGTTTCTACAATATATCCAAATGTAACAAGGGTTAAAAATGAATTTAGTAAGTAAGACTTGAGTCATTTATACCATTAGAAGAAGCATAGAGTTTAGTATGATTGACTTTTAGTTGGATGATTTCATTTAACATAATCCGCATGAATATGTTTATATAATATAACACACAAAATGCTTTAAAGAAGCCCATTGCAGATAGGTGTTATTTAACACGTTTGTGAGCAAGTAAAGTAAGAGGAAGAAAGACAGAATTTTGTCAATGAAAGAATCAATGTCTATCTTAAGCAAAACAAGAAAAGTTGACAAAAATATAACGTAATTAGGAAGTGAGAATACAAAACAAACAGCATCTGATAATACAAACAACAGAATAGTATTACATGACACATTACAACACGACCCAAGGGCACGCATAAATACAATTCTACAGAGTTTTGGTTAAGAAAGCTTTCAGAAATCATCTTGTCACTCTGGACTGACAGTGAGTTGAATTTAAATAGCGTACTTAATTGCTTTCCCTGCGTTCACAAAGACGTATTAATTACTAATGCGTCAGTTACATTTATTGTGTGCGTTAGAACATTTCGTACTTGTGATAGTGATCTGTTACTCTGGTACATATTAGGTTTGTTGTGACTCACACGTGATAGTGTCTGTGAGGTACTGGGAATTCCTGGAAATGGAAACTGCGTAATGCTATTCCAAAGATACAATAAATTTGGAACTAGAAATCCTTCGCTCATTTCCATTAAAACAATTCCGTAGCATCTTCTTCAATATCTAAGCTTAGATCTTGTTATCAAAATATAGTGGGACAACTAGGCACAATAACGATGAAAATATAGGCTTGACGATCTCGACTACTTAACAAAAACAGTGCTTTCATTCCCCAAGAGTAAAAAGAAATTAACTATAACCGACATGCTCACTGCAATACAATTAATTAAAGCTACAACAAAGGATGAATCCAATCTAGGCAGCCTTAATGAACGTGTAGCTGAATTAAAAGCGAGTATTTGCAATGTTCCCGGAACAAACAATTCAAATATAAGCCCGTTTACAGCAACCATATTTATAGAACAATACAAATATATTGGCAACACTGTGAAAAGCATAAACAATTAAGTCAATAATATAAAACAAAACATTGGCCTAAATGAGTTCGGATAATTGAGTTTGTTCGGATTAGAGGTTATTGTGGATGCTGGAGGAAATATGGAAACTGTGGATAAAGCTTCATGTTGATAAGAAGTTCGTAGATAAGGAAGCAACTACTAACCAAAGAAAGGAAACAGACGAATTTAAGAGGCTAATGGTCACTTTCATCGATGAAAAAGGCTAAAATGAAGCAGTTCATAATATGAAGGCCATACCCCGAAGGTTAAAAAATTACCCACCCATCCAGAAACGAATAAAGAAAACATCAAGTTTTGATCAAGAGCCATATTAGGCCATCATTAAAAGTCCGTACCCAAATGATCTGTTTAACATGGAACGCTGCTGACATCTAAACAGAACTGGCGTGACGATACATACATAATTCACAAAGTTAATTTGAAGACCAAACAGGTTATGTAGGTACGTGGTGAATAATAAATTGCCATACATTTCTCGCTCATTAACTATTACTGGACACTAAATGGACGTGGAAGCGGCTATGTATAACGAATGAAGCAAAATTTTAAATTACTTTAAAATATGAGAGAGACGTTATTTGAACCAATTAACCTTAGTCTTCTAATCAAAGGCAAGGTCATTTGAGGATTAATTAATTTTCGTCATTCTGAATGATAGCCAAGTAAATTAAATAAACTCCTTATGTAACTATTCACCGGCAAAAGTTGTAGACATAAATATTTATATGACCTGTTTGACTGATCCATTGAGTAGTTTTCTGGGGGAAGAGACATATGGGAGTGTAAGACTTTTACTGGCTAAAAACCCCCCTTTACTATTTCTTGTCTAGAGAGCTGACTATTAAACCGTAATAGAAGACATGGATGGGCATCTGAACACAGATTTGGAAGCATTAAAATACAGTGAAGTCAAAATCACTTTTATGTCCAAGAAATGCTATATTTGAACTAACTTTTTTTATAAAAAGAGTTTCTAAAAAAGCAAAGAACGGAACGTTAGATTTCATATCAAAAAGAAAAAGTGAGAGCGCTAGGCAGAATGATCAAAAATTCAACTCGGGTTATAATGCCTAATTTCATAAGTGCTGTAAAGTTATACAGAATTCTCCGTGGTAGCATGAAGGAAGAATTTTATTGTAAAATAGACAGACGCATATTAAGGTAAACCATTCTGTTAATTTCTTCATCAGGTTTTCTACCGTATATCTTTGGAATAAAGTTGAAAGCATTTTAAAGTTTTTTGCCAGTTTTAGGTAGTTTCGTGAGCTACCATCTACTTGCGGATCTCAGTATAAAACTGCACGGTACATTTAGTTTTATTCTCAACAATTTTTACAACCTCATCGCAGATTTTTATACATTTCCTCCATTGTGCTGCATGTTCTATGAATTTTCGAAGCTTTACTATGTTCGAAAGAATACTTTGTGGTTTTATTCATGTTGTTATGA